CAGCTGCCAATAAAGCGCAGCTTGAGCCATGCACAGAGGTCTTCAAATTAAATGGTATGATATCTTTCGACCATCTGCTCCGTAGTCATGACACAATATCATTTATGTAGATTTTTCAGGTGATGGCATGATAAGCCTCTGCTATGATCAGTCACTCAAGTCTACTGGGTCACCATTCACATTACAGAAGCATGTAGCTAACTGCCAAGCTTACAAAATACAAATGGACAGTCAAAGGGATAAACCTACACCACTTCTGTGAAACAAACTCAGAAATACCCACATCTTTCTCATCAAGCTGCTACAATTCTTTTGTCATTTCAAAATAATGATTAAAGGACCCTGGTTCATCTCACAGAACCATGGAACAGTTGAGGTTGGCAGGCACCTCACATAGGTCATCTGCTCCGACCCCTCCCTGCTCAAGCAGGGCCACCTACAGCTGCCCAGCACCCTGTCCAGGTGGCTTCCGAGTACCAGCAAGGTGGGAGACCCCACAACCTCTCTGGGCAACCTCCGCCAGTGCTCTGTCACCCGCACAGTAAAGAAGCGTTTCCTGATGTTCAGAGGGAACCTTCTGTGCTTCACTTTGTGCCCGTTACCTCCGGTCCTGTCACTGGGACCACTGAAATCAGCCTGGCATCAGAGCACTAAGTAGATACTCATTTCCAGTATTTAATCTTCATCTTCTAACCTTTTGGGAAGGTTGGGATGCTTTTAAGGAATACATGTGCACACAGACATGACAAAGAAATGAATAATTACACAAGAAAACATAGCATCTGTAAGAGTCAAATACATATCCAGTTCACTGCAACTTCTCTGTAAACAGTACCTTTTATTTCTGCATTTCTCACATTAGGCACATAAATCTATTTGCACGTAAACAGCCTTTTATCATTTGCAACTGTATTCTGCAGTTAAGGTGCTTTCAGCCTAGGTTAAATTTACACCCCTTTCATGTACAACTTTATAATCCACCAAGCTCATTCATGATTTTTGACAACTGTTAGGCGAGGCAGAAACCAGCTCTTGAATACCCTGAAGAATCACCTTCTCATAAAGTTGCTGAATATATACTTATAAATCTAATGAATAGATTACATTATCTCATTGCCTCAATTGTGTCCAACAGGGCATCGCAGGCTGCTCCCTCTGATCCTCTTTATTCCGTTGCAGGACTCGCCAGAGGGTGCTGCTGGGCAAGCTTGCTCTTCAGCACGGAAAGGCAATATGCCAAAACCTCTTTAGTCAGGAGGTGAAACACTAGTCTGTGACTGAGTTTGCACTGCCTGCCTCTCTTTTTGCCAGTGCCCTCCAGACCCACCTACATCTCAGCGGCACTACCTGCCTATCCCAAGCTCCCCTCAGGAAAGCTAAAAAGGAGTTTGTTCCAGCCTTCTTTCTTCCTTCTTTGCCTCACAGCAGTGCATCCTTCTGGCTGCAGCTGCCTGACTGGAACAGGCCTGCTGACTGAAAACAGGGGAGAAAGGGAGCAGCACCAGAGAGGCCAGATGTCCTAGCATTACGGCCACTTCAGCTGCCATCTCAAAGGCCTCTAAGCTACCATCTCCCCATTGACTCATGAAATCAGACCAACCAGAAGTGGCAAGGAAGCTACAAGAGGCTGAAAAAAACGACTGAGAGGGACATCGGGTTGCAGGCCAGTGCATTCCAGCGCTTTTCACACCTCTCAGCTGACATGTTCGAAGTATTACAGTAGAATCATAGAATGTTTGGGGTTGGAAGGGACCTCTAGAGATCATCTAGTCCAACCCCCCCGTCAGAGAAGGATCCCCTAGGGCAGCCCCACAGGAACGCGTCCAGGCGGGTTGGAAAGTCTCCAGAGCAGGAGACTCCACACCCTCTCTGGGCAGCCTGGGCCAGGGCTCCGGCACCCGCACAGCCAAGAAGTTTCTCCTCATGTTGAGGTGGTACTTCCTGTGCTCTAACTTAAACACCTTATTTTTTGTTCTACTACTGGGAACCACTGAGAAGAGACTGTCCCCTTCCCCTTGACACCCATCCCTCAAATATTTCTCTACGTTAATAAATGCCCTCTCAGCCGTCTCCTTCCAAGACTAACCAGCCCCAGTTCTCTCAGTCCCTCTTCACAGGAGAGATGTTCAAGTCCCTTAATCCTCCTCGTAGCTCTCCCTTGGACTCTCTCCAGTAGGTCCCTGTCTCTCTTGAACTGGGGAGCCCAACACTGGACACAGTATTCCAGGTGTATTCCAGTACTTCATGGTATCATAGTACATAATGAATACTGCTAAGCATAAGTTATTTTAATAACAGTTACAATGTTATTATAGCATTACTTCTTCTGCAGTACGATTTCTTCAGGGAGAGCTCTGGCAAACAGCAGAATAACCAAAAGTCCTATTCTAACAAATTCTTGAGGCAGAATCATCTCTTCATAATGCAGTGCAAATGTTCTAAATGAGATCTGAAAAGCACTTGCACGTGTTGCTTGGTGACAGTTCCGAGTCATACTCTGTCACTGGGTTTGTCTGGAGACAGCTACTAGTGGAAACAAGATCCTGGACTACATGAACCTTGTGTCTGCCCCAGAATAACTGTTCTCACGTTTTGTGCAAAGGAAATGAATTATACAAACTGGCCAACAGAGCAATTATTTTCTTCATCACTTAAAGTGCCTCTGATAGAATGCTG